TGTGTGGGGGCTGTGGGGGTGGGGGTCTGGGGGCCTCAGAGCCATCCCTTTCCAGGATGTGTGCCGTGGGGTGGGTGTGGGGAGCTGGGGGGTGGGTGGGGGTGGGGGTGGGGGGTGGGGGGGGGTAGTACCCTTGAGTGCCTGCTTTTTTTTTCTATTTGGGCGGAGTCACAGCGTTTTCTATCTAGTGGGGGGAATGTGGGGGACTGATAGCCCTCCCTTTCCAGGGTATGTGCCACCCAGGGCGCACATGTGCTGTCCCCCACCCCCGCCTGCACGCCCCTGCCTGCGTGCCTGCCCGCAGCTCACCAGCGACGAGTTCCCAGGGCTGGCAGGACCGGACACCCTCAAGGCGGTGCTGGAGTCAGGTGAGCTATACCAGCAGTGCAGACCTGGTTGCTGCTGCTGCATGATGCCGAGCTTTTAGCAGCAGCTTGGGGACCCGCCATGTTGGCTGCTGATGTGTAACCCTCACCCTCACCCTACCACCTTATCTCTTTGCAGAGGTGGCCGCCAAGCTGCAGTTTGTGCCGGGGGCGGTGGCCGACAGCGCCAACGGCAGCCACGGCAGCGGGCGCGGCCCGCTGTCGCGCCCCTCCCCCTTCATGGCCGGCGGCCTGGACTCGCCCGACCAAGGCCTGCGCAGCCCCTCCAACGCGCAGCTGACGGCGCGGCAGCAGCAGGCGGTGGGCAACCTCATGCGGGTGCAGGGCCTGGTGGAGCAGTTTGTGGCCAAGCACGACGAGGATCGCGTGATGGTGGGTAGCGGGGGCGGGCCAGGGAAGCGAAGCCGCCGCCCTAGCGTGCACAGCATGCATGGCGAACACAGGCCGGCCATGCACTCCCTCCGCTCTCGTGCCCCACCTGCCACAACACACCCACGCTGCCCATTCTCGCCTGCTTACGGCACCCATGCCCCCAACACACACATGCACCGTGCGCCACCCTCCAACCCTGCAGGAGTTCCTGAACGCCGCCAGCCGCGGCAACAACCAGCGCCTGCGGTACTTCCTGGAGCAGGGCTTCGACGTGGATTCCTCAGACTACGGTGCGGTACTGTTTGTGGTACTGCATCAGTACTACAATCACCCCAACACTGCATTTGCTGTTCTTTCCTCCCAGTAGCATGCATCCACCCTGCAGTGCAGCCTCGTGGCTGGGGCCCGCCTGCCTTGTGGCTGCGGGCCACCTGCTGCTGACAACTGATGGCAGTGCTCTCGACCTTGCCCTGATGCAGATGGGCGCACGGCGCTGATGCTGGCCTGCGTCAAGGGATTCCGCGAGACGGTGAAGCTGCTGCTGGAGGCCGGGGCCAACGCCAACGCCAAGGATGCCTTTGGAGGAACCGCCATGTGAGCGCGTGTATGCATGGTGTGGGTGGGTGGTGCTGGGTGGGATTGCTTTTGCCCTGGGTGGGGCCTGCATCTCATGCCGCTGCTGCTCATGCCGCTGCTGCTCCGGTGCCCTCGCCTGCCCGCAGGTGGGAGGCCTGCCAGCACGGCCACGACGACTGCGTCGATCTGCTGCTCAAGCACGGCGGCACGTGAGTGCAGCGGGGTCAGAGCTGGGGTGTTGGTTGGGCACCGTGGCGGGACATGGCTTGCCAGCGCCCAGCTCCAGGCGGCCCACTGCACACTTCGCTGAGCCGGCCCGGTCCTTCCTTCACGGCTGGCACACCCGGCCTCGAGCTGCGCTGCTGCGCGTGACGCACGCCGCGCTGTTGCCTGCAGGCTGGGCAAGGAGGGTGTGGACATCTCCTCCCTCCTCTGCACCTGCGTCTTTTCGGGGGAGCTGGGCCTGCTGCGCCGCCTGCTGCGGGCGGGGGCCCCTCCAGACATGGGAGACTACGACAACCGCACGCCACTGCACATCGCGGCAGGTGAGTGGACAGCGGTCCGACCGGCGCGCCAGCGCAGCAGCGCGTTGGCAGCGCTCTGGCGGTAGTTTGCAGCGAGCGGCGGTGGCCCGGGAGGCTCGCAGGCACGCTCCAATGCGTGTGGTGGCGTGCTGATGCCTGCGCTCCTGCGGGCATCTCCCCACGACTGTTGAACCCACGCACATACACACACCAACCCCCACTTCCCCACACACCCCTGCAGCCGAGGGCAACCTGCCAGCAGTGGACACGCTCGTGGATGCAGGCCTGGCAGACGTGAATGTCCAGGACAGGTATGCCCGCTGCTGGTTCTCACACAGTGACGCATGGGAGTGCAGCTAACTTAAGCCCAGCCGCTGCCTCCTCCCAGGCGCACGCTTGCGTTCCCTTCACCCCTGGCTGTCACTCGACCCGCACTCCACCCCCACCCGGTTGACTTGGTGTGATGGTGCAGGTGGGGCAACACACCTCTGGACGAGGCACGAAGGGTCGGCGCGCATGCGGTGTGCGCCTTCCTGGAGGCGCAGGCCAAGAAGGGCCTGTAAAGGGGAGCTCACGTTCAGGCACACCCCAGCTGAAACCTATACCTGTACCCTTGAGATGTCCGAAGCGGGGCATCAGCGCTGTGCCGCGCTGCCATCGCGGGCGACAAGCGCGCGCTATGGCCAACCGAGCCACCGTCGACACAAGCAGCCTTGTACTTTTGCACTCTTCACCCCACCGATAATCCCATCTGGTGGGCCACCACCTCTGTTTCCATGCTTCCCAGCGCCCCCTCCCGTCCCACCACACACAATAAAGAAACAACGCAGCTTCCACTCCTGCCGCATCCAAAACCCAAGCCTCCTCTCTTAGCCCCTGATTTATTGTTTTCTCAGTGTCCTTTAGTTGCGTCAGCGCCGTTATTCCTGTAATCTGGCGATCTTTCTCTTGCAATGCTGTACAGCAGTCGTCTGGCACGCTCCACGCGCTCCCGCAGGAAGGGCTGCATCTGCCAGGGCATGATCTCCCCGCCTTCTCTGTCAAGAAGTCAGCTTGGGAGAAGAAAGGGTATGATGGGTCTTCGAAGAAGAAGACCGGGACGCTTGAAAGCAAGCAGGGGGGAAACAGAGTCAGCAGACTCTGTGATACATGTACCGCGGGCGGGAGGCGGTCGGGCGTGCCTGGCACGCTGTTCATCGTCCTGATTTAACTGCAAGCTGACTACACATGCGGCCCAGTGCGGCCATGACTGCATAATTAGATAAGCTGCAGGTAGGACAGGCATCAACGAATGTGGCGGCCGAGGGTACGATCTCAACGACGGTCAGCAAGAGCTGCGGTGAAGCAGCATGCAAGGGATTGTACAAAAGAAGTGCAGAGCATGAAAGGACCGAGGTGCTGAAGAAGAAGCATGCCTTTAGGACAAAAGAAAACACAAGCAACGTGTAGGGCCGCAAGGGACAAGAGTCGCAAGGGACAAAACGACGAACGCCGCTACTCAGCGCTGCCTCGGCTGGCGCTGCCGCCAGGGGGGTCGAAGGGCGGCGGCGCCTCCAGGCTGACGAGGGGCACTGCGTTGGCGGCCGCCTGGCGATGCTGCTGCTGCCGCCTGACCTGCTGCTGCTGGGAGTGGTAGCTCAGCAGGTTCACCAGGTCTTGCCAGGTGGGTGGCGGGCCGCCGCTGCCTGCAGCAGAGCGCTGCGCGGCAGCGGCCGCCAGGCTGACCGTCGCCAGCTGGCGGGCGCTGCTGGCGGGCGCAGCAGGAGCGCCGGCGGTGCCAGCACCTGCACTGGTGCGAACACCAGCCGCCGGAGTGGCGTCGCTGTCGTCGCTGCTGGCCTCGCCGCTGCTGGCGCCGGCGCTGGCGCGCCGCCGGCTGCCGCTGCTGCTGCTCGCAGTCAGGGCGCGGGCACGGGCGTCGCGATCGCGTCGGCGGCGGCGGCGCCGCCCGCTGGTGCTGGCAGGGGCGGCTGCCACCGCTGATATGTCTTCCATTATCCTGCTATACAGATGCTCCAGGCTGCCTGCCTGCTCGGGCGCCTCTGATGCAGCACCGTTGGCGCGGCTGCTGACGGTGCGGAGCGCCGGCGTTGCTTGCAAACTGGCGGCGGAGCCTGCGGCTGCCGGTGCGATTGCCGCTGCTGCCGCTTCTGCACCTGTCCCTCTGCCTGCCTCCAAGTCACGTCCCTGCTCCGGCCGCTGCTGCTCAGACATCATCCGCATGAGTGCCGCACGGAAGAGGGCTGAGGAGCGGACCGCGGCGAGCTGCGCCGCCGCGGCCCCGCCAGGCGACAGCTGCGCACCCGCCGAAGCGCCCGCAGGCACTGCCAGCTGCTGCCCGGAGGCTCGCCGCGAGGCGCTACCTGCGGCTGCAGCCCCCTGCTCCTGCTGCGGCTGGCCGCGCCGCCGCGCCAGGCGTCGGAAGGGGGACGAGGCCGCGCCCCAGGCTGCGCCGCCGGCGGATGCAACGCCGCGCCCGATGGCTGCTGGCACGGAGAGAGTGGGACGGCGCTCAAGAGTAGGGACAGCACAGCAGCATGGCACAGGGGTGAGCAGAGCGCTGGCGAGCCCCCGCACATCCCCAAATAGCGCCATGCGGCGAGCCAGGGCAAGGCAGGCAGGTGGCAGGGCAGGCGCTGCAGCGCTGCGCACCCACAAACAAGCCTCCAAAGGACGAGGGGGGCAGCATGTGGCGGATGCGAGACATGGAGAAGCGCAGCTGCAAGAGGAGGCAGGGAGGGTGGGTGGTATGGTGCGTGCGCTCATGCCTGTGCGGGCGAGATACCGGTATCCTATGGACCGGCCTGGGCCATCGCCGCTCCAGCAGGTGGCTGGTGAGGCTCACAGCAGCCAGCCTCTGCCGTGGCCAAACGTGCAGGCTGCCGGGCACGCTTCCCTGCCGTGCCCCACCGTGCCGGCGACGCCCCACCTGGAACGCTGCGATGATGAGCAGCAGGCGCATGATCATGAACAGCAGCGGCATCTCCAGAATCGCAAATGCCTGCGGGGCGGGGCAGCACCCAGGCATGGGGATGAACAGATAGTGATGCAAGGGGAGGGAGTTGCAGCCGAAGCGACATTCTGCACTAGCTGCTCAAGTCTTCGCTGGCCGCACATTGCTGTAGAACGGGGCCGCATGCAAGCCCGGGGCCTCTCTCAGCGCTGAGCGGAGCAAAGGGCCTGCCATGCAGCAGGGCGGCGGGGCGCGCGGCAGGCGGCAGGGCGGCAGCAGCAGGGCGGCAGGGCGGCAGCTCACCCCGAGCACCACGCTCCACACGATAAACAGGGTGAGGATGGATGGGTAATCCTGGCCGGCGCCGTACAGCGCAATCACGTCTGCGGGGCAGGGCAGTGTGAGTGTGTGCGTGTGTGTGTGTGAGAGAGAGAGAGTGAGAGAGAGAGAGAGAGAAGAGGGTGGGCTGTGGTGGCCGGGGCTGGTGGTGCAGGCAGGCAGGGATGTATCGGCAGCAAGGGGGCAGGCCGGCCGGCCCCGGCGGCGGCTGCATGCTGCGCAGGCAGAAGAAGGAAGAAGGAAGGCCGCAAGAAAGCAAGAAACCCCAGCCCACCGGTAAACATGGAGCCCGCCAGGTAGGAGATGGATGTGGACTCTGGGTGGGAGCCTATAAAGAACTTGACCGCGGTGCTGACTGCAGGGCAGGGCAGGCAGTACAGCGCAGGCAGCGGTAGAGGACAATCAGCGCTTAGGGAATGGGTGGCTACCTGCTGCCGCCACGAAAACAACGCCAGACCAAAGCGCCTGCTGGAGCAGATGCGTAGCGGAACGCGCAGGCAAGACGAAAAGGCAGATGTGCTCACGCTCCGGCTCGTCGCTGTTGCCGCCCCACACCAGGCGCAGGATGAGCAGCACTGCCAGGTAGATGATATCGACCACCAGCATGGCCAGGAGGGCCATCTGCGGGGCACGAGGGCACCGGTGCGGAGCGGGGCAGGCGGTGGGCACCAGCAGTGTATGCAGACGCAATGCACCTTTACAGGGCATGGTACGGTGATAGAACAGCATGGGAGGCAAGCGGCGCGGGCAGGGGCAGGCTGCAAAAGGGAGATGGAAGCGAGCGCGAGCGGCGGCCGGCATCGGGGGCTCACGCACCTTTTGCCTCAGATAGATCTGTCGGGAGCCTGCGTAGCTAGCAGGGAAGCCATCATCATCAAGTGCAGGCGTGCTGCCGGGCGGAGGCCGCACACCGCCGGGGCCCAGCATCGCCGCCGCTGTGCGCTGCTGCCGCCGCTGCCGCTGCGCTGCAGCTGCCGCGGCTGCGTGGCGGGGACGTGGGGGCGAGGCAACGGATGTGACGGCAGGCAGCGAGCAGGGCAAGCAGGGCGTATGGCGCTCGGTAGGAAGTGGCCGCTTGTCAACACCAGCTCCCCTGCGCCGTACAATTAAGCTCGCTGCTCACTTGTGGCCAGCACAGCAGCCGCTACGGCAAGCGCTGTGCAGCGGCGGCTTCTGTGCGTCCCAACCCGCAGCAGGCAGGCTCCCCACCTGCCGCAGTCAGCTCATCCTCCCGCGCCTTGTCCACCCCAATGCCAAAAGTCTCCCCATCAGGATGGAACACGATGAGGCGTGGCGGCAGCCTGCTGGTGCCATCGCCGCCATCTGCTACCGCAGCCGCCACATCCAGGGGGCTCGCCAGCGCGACGGCAGTGGTGCTGCGGCTGTTGCGGCTGCCCATGCGGCTGCTGCTGGCGCTGCCGCCGCCGTGGCGGGGCGAGGAGGTGGATCGTGGCAGGCAGTCGCTGCCACCGGGCCCTGCACCCATGGCTGCTGCTGCTGCGCTCCGGCTATGCGTGCTGCCGGCTGCTGTTGTGACGGGTGTGGCCTCGCCGCTGCTGCCTCCAGACAGCTCTTCTGGGAGCGGCGGGTCGTAGTGGCCTTGCCGCTGGGCTGCCGTGGGCGCCACAGTGGTTGCCACCGTGGCGGCGCTGCTCCACCTGCTGCGGTGGCTCATGTAGCTGTGGTGGGAGTCAATAGAGAGGCGGGAGATATCGCTGGCGCCCGCCTGGCTGCCGCCGCCACCGGGCATGGCGGCGGCAGCGGCAGAGCTGTGCAGTTCCCGCTCCACACCGCCCGCGCCTGCGACTGCTATTTGCCCGGCTGGCGATGCGGGGGGGCTGCCGCTGCGCCAGGCCTCTCCAGGGAGGACTGCCAGATGGTGCGCGGCACTGAGGCTGCGCTGGGCATCCTGATCGGGATCCACAGGCTGCTGCCCACTCATGTGAGGCCAGCAGCAGGCCTGCTGGCCGCTGGGAGCTGGGCTTTGCTGCAACCAGAAGGGTGCAGGGTTCTGGCAACCCTGGGCGATCCAGTTCTGTTCAAGTCGATTGTGAACACCAGCAGCAGGTTCCGCGCTCTGCAAGCCTGTCAAACAGCAGGGGCTGGGTGGCACCGCCAGCTAAGCGCAGGCACCATCTGTCAAGAACGACGACCTCCTGCGTTCAATTGCGATCGATCAATCCATCAGAAGCATTCCTGCTGCCGGGTGGACGTCTATCAGTACTGTCACAGCTACTATCGTCGATCAGGAGAGCAGAAGCCAGCTGCGCACCCTGCTTAGCTCCCAATGGCAGCCACAATTGGCGGGGTGCAGCGCTGCGCACCCCTGTCCTCGGCAGCGCGCTGCAGCCGGGCGGTGCCACAGCTGGGCGCCCGCCTGTCGCAGGCAGCAGCCTGCCTGCCACGCCGCCGGCGTGCGCCTTGTTGCCCCACAGCCGCCGCAGCAGCCTCAGCAGCCAGCGCTGTTGTGACGCACACACAGCAGACGCTACTAGGAGCCAGCCCCTGGGGTGAGTGTGCGCCAGCCGCTTGCCGCTGCTCGCCCATCTGTTGTCCCGGTCTCTCTACCGATGGCTCGCCCATCTGTTGTCCCCTGCCTGCTGCTCCTGCGCTGTGGCTTGCCCCTCGCACGACATGCGGCCATCTCTATGCATCGCCACGCAGGCATCTGGGCGGCTCTGACGGCAGCAGGATGCGCGGGGCTGTGGTGCGAGCGCACCAAGTGGGGCAAAGAGATGAGCGGTGCCCTCCTCAGGTTTCAGGGATCAACTGTATTCAATTGTCGCACAATCGGCGCCCTCCCAGCCACCTGCTGCCTTCCCGCTCCCTCGATCTTCCACCGCTGCCCCTGCATCTCCCCGCCGCTTCCCCCGCAGCACGCTCTTTGGGCTGGCGCTCAGCAACCTGGGTGTGGTGCCTGCCGAGGCGCCCCACGTGTATGGTGTGGTCAACGCGTACCTGTTGCCGCTGGCGGTACCCCTGCTGCTCTTCTCGGCAGACCTGCGGTGAGGCTGCTGCCGGCGGGGAGCAGCTCAGGGGAGGCGGCAGCGCCTCGACCGCCAGCTGTACCAGCAGCTCTGCGAACCGCGTGCTGCAGGTTGTGCTGCCCTGCTGTGCCTGCTCGTCGCTGCCTGCCCACTGCTGATTCCCGCCTGCCTGCCCCCACATGCCCCGGCCTGCCTGTCTGCCCCAGGCGCGTGCTGCGTGAGACGGGGCGCCTGCTGGGAGCATTCACCTGGGGGGCGCTGGCCACCGTGGCAGGCAGCCTGCTGGCGTTCAAGCTGATGCCGCTGCGGGTGCTGGGCGCCGACGGCTGGAAAGTGGCGGCCGCGCTGACGGCGCGGCACATCGGCGGCAGCGTCAACTATGTGGCGGTGAGGTGGCGATGAGGTGGCAGTGAGGAGGCGCACATGGGGACGGGACACAGGGATAGGACACGGGCGCGCGAGTCCTCCCGATGAGTTGCCCGTCGCCGCCATGACAGCAGCAAAAGCCTCCGCTGCCGCCACCGCTGCTTCCCGCAGGTTTCAGAGGCCCTGTCGCTTTCGCCCAGTGCCCGCATGGCAGGCCTGGCCGCGGATGACCTCATAGTGTCCGCCTACTTTCTTACCCTGTATGCACTGGCCCGCAAGGTGCCCCCAGAGGCCCCATCCACAGCCTCCTTTGATGCAGCGGCAGAGGCGGCCCCGGCCCCGGCCGCCGGCGCATGGAGCGGCACCGCGAGCACAGCGGCGGCCTCGACAGCGGCAACAGGCGCGCCGGCAGCCGCAGCAGCAGGCGCACAGCCTGCCCCGCAGCAGCAGCAGTCGAGGGCATCCGGTGCAGTGGGAGATGCCACCAGCAGCAGCAGTGTGGATCTGGACAGCAGCCGTACCATCACGGTATTGTATGGCGCCACTGCGCTGGCAGTGGCTGCCGCCATCTGCTTCGCAGGCACCCAGGCCGCTGCGGCGCTGCGATACAAGGGAGGCTCCATCACCATCATCACCGCGACCACAGGTGCTGGGCCAGGGCTAGGCGCTGCTGCTGGGGCTGCTGCTGGGGTTGGCAGGCTGCGCTGGTCGGCACGTAGTACGCATTTTGCCCGCTCTGCTGCCGGCTCCGCCCACTCGCCAACCTCGTCCGCCTGACCCTGACTCTAATCCTGCTCAATCCTGCTCCATGCTGACGCCGCAGTCACTCTCGCTACGCTGTTTCCTCGCCTGCTGGCGCCGCTGCGGGCGTCGGGAGAGGGCCTTGCGGCCATCCTCATGCAGGTCAGTATTGGGGGGGTGCTGGTGCCACGCTGCTTCCCCCCTGTGTGAGTTGCTGGCTGCTGCATTAGAGCGGCAGCCAGCCCCCACCTCCCATGCACCCACCCCTCCCACCGACCTTTGGCCCACCCGCCGCTCCCCGCACACATGCCCGGCCCACCACCTCCGCAGCTCTTCTTTGCCTCTGTCGGCGCCAGCGGCAGCATAGCGGTCGTGATGAAGACGGCACCCTCGCTGTTCCTCTGGTCTGCCGTGGCTGTCTCCAGTGAGTGTGAGCCTGGGCCAGGCAGCCAGCCACAGTGCTGGGCGTGTGTGCGGCGCGTTCTTGACCTGCCTGCTCCTCTGCCGGGCTGCCCCGGCTCCCTGCCTTCCTCCCTGGTCTCCCGTGCAGCACACCTGGGGCTGGTGCTTGCGGAGGAGCGGCTGCTGGGGTTCACCCGCAAGGAGAGCTGCCTGGCATCCAACGCCAACATTGGAGGTGGGCTGGCGCGGGCCAGGCTGTGGTGGCCAGGCGGCATGGCATTGCTGGGGCGTGCCTGGGCATAGCTTTGGAGCAAGGCCTCGCAGGCAACATACTCGCTGGGAGGGGGAGGTGCAGGCAGCCTGCCTTTTCCACTACTCAGCCTGAGCCCTGCCCGCCCCGCGTTCCTCTCGCCCCTGCGGCTGCAGGCCCCACCACGGCTGCGGGCATGGCCGCCGCCAAGGGCTGGCGCAGCAGCCTGGTGCCGGCGCTGCTGATTGGGATCATGGGGTACGCGACTGCCACCTTCGTGGGGGTGGCCTGTGCCTCTGTCTTCCAGCGCATGCAGTTTTCCTGAAGGCGCGGCTGATCGGCTGTATGCCGGCCTTGCCGTGGCTGCACCTGTGGCTGCAAGGCGTGCCTGGGGCAACTTACATTGCAGCTTTTAAACAATCGGGTACTGCTCATTTGTGATGTAAAGTACAAGGGCCATTTCTGTCAGCAGCTGCTCTTCTGCGCCAGGTAGATGTGAGCAAGAGCTTCAGTGCTGCAGCAGGGGTTGGAGGGCGGCATGAGCCTCGTCATCAGAAGATCAGAGGGCACTCGTGCCAAACACACACCGAGCGAGTGCTAGCGATGCCACGGACAGCAGCACAGCCCACCACCCTGCCTGCCTACCTGTGCATGACCCGCATGCACCAGGTCTTGGCGTGTGATGATGCCCACCGCAGCGTTTGAGCGGTCGATGACGCACAGGTGGCGCAGGGAGAGGGAGAGGAAGAGGCGGTGCACGCGCGCGGCCGGGGTGAAGCGCCGCACCGACAACGGGGCGCGGTTCATGACTGGAGCCAGGTTGAGGAAGGCGCCTGCCTCCCCCTCCTCCTCCTGGTGGCTGCCTGGGCGGGGCGTGCGCGGGGTCCCCGCCCCCGCCCCGGGAGCCTGCTGCTGCTGCTGCTGCGCAGCTGTGCTCCACGGCCGCGGCGGCCGCTGCAGCCGGTCTGCGTACGCCCGCCAGGGAGGCTCGACCGACGCTGCAGAGGCCAGCCCCGCATGCTGCTCAGCTGCCTCTGCCGCCGGGGGTGCCTCCTCCTCTTCGGCATTCCAGCTGCTCAGCGGGCTACGCAGCGGGGTGGGGTCGGGGCTGACCCCGCCGGTGAAGACCAGCAGCAGGCGCCCGCTGTGGCTGCGCCGCGTGCTTTCCTGCATCAGCAGCGCCAGCTGCTGCTCCAGCTGCGGGGCAGCCGCCGGAGGGATGTGCAGGTACCGGCCGCCAGCGTCGCAGTACGCGCGGTGCCTGCAGCAGACGGCAGAATGCAGAGCTCGCCTGCCTGACGACGGAGCCGGTCGGCCATGCCCGCACAAGCGTGATGCCATGCAGGCGGCGTGCGCCGCATCCCGCCCCGCTCACCTGAGCAGCACCAGCAGCTGGCTGCGCAGGATGAAGCCATCCAGCCGCCCCCGCCCAGACACCGGATCCCTGCATGCGGCGGCGGCAGCGGCAGCAGTGACGACACGCGGCTTCCACAGTCGGCCGCGAGCCATGGAAGCATCCCTCCTGCTCCTGCCAGCGCCTCTCCCTCCAGCCACCGCCAGCCCGCCTTGCCTGACTGTGCAGACGGGGAAGCCGTTGTGGGAGGTGCGCCGCAGCACCTCCTTCACCTCCGCCACCGACACGATGGCATCAAAGCCCACCACCGGGGACCGCATGATGTTGATGGCGGTGAGGTGGCGCAGGGCGCTGGGCGGGTCCTGCGGCGGGGGCAGCGGGACGCGCATCAGGCGCCGCAAGCCCAGGCGCGCGACGAGACGCAGCAGCGCACAACCAAGCGGTGCTGCCTCCAGTCCTCCAGAGAGGCCACGCGGCAGAGGTGCTGTCTCCCATGCCACCCCACAACCACTACTGAAACCACCACAGTCACCGCCGCCCACCAAAAACCATGCCTCCCCCCCCCACCCACACACTCACGCATATACACACCCACTCCTGCCACCACACACACCTCGTGCAGGAACAGGACCTTCTTATTGGCTTCCAGATCGTCGTGGTACACGCCGGCCGTACCGCACAGGTGCGCCACGTAGTGGGAGATGGCGATGGCGGCGATGATGCCCAGCGCCTGGTTGAAGCCTGCAGGGGTGAGCGGGAGTGGCAGGGGGTGTGGACTAGCTGGCGGGTGGGTAGGTAGGTGATCATGTGAAGGAATGAGAAGGGATCGGTGGTCGTTTGGGACCATGAATGGGCGAGACACAGGGCAGCGAGAGAGGGAGTGCCACTCGGAATCCCAGCTCTTCTGGCCTCCCTCCTGGCATCCCTGCTCCGGCCAGCCTCCCAGCGCAGCCGGCCAGCCAGCCAGCCACCCACCCACCCTGCGTGCCCTCCAGCAGGATGGCCACAATCGATATGGAGCTGCGGAAGACGCCGCCCAGCGCGGCCGCCGTGGCCACCACCGCAAACACGCCCGGCTGGATGCCGGCGCCGGGCAGGGCGCGGGCCAGGGCCAGCCCACACAGCGCGCCATATGAGCCGCCAATCATGATCGATGGCATGAACAGGCCTGCAGGGTGGGCGCGCTCGTATGTGTGTTTGTGGTAAAGTGTGGGCTGGTGATCGATCTGCTTGTGGCGGCCCAGCAAGCAACAGTCGAGGGGGGTCCGGAGGTGCGCACGTTGTGCCAGAGTGCGACAGCTGGTAGCAGCTGACAAAGCCTGGCATGCCATGGAAGCTCGGCGAGCGGCATGGCAGGGCATGCAGCCCGCAAGGCGCACCTCCCGGCACCACCAGGTTGGACGACAGCGCAGTGAGCAGCAGGTAGGAGGCGCACAGCGCCGCCAGCGAGGGCAGGCTGAAGTAGCAGGCTCCCAGCGGGCCGCAGCTTGTGTGCAGGGGCTCGGCATCCGAGCCCAGGCCGATGAAGCTCTTGATGACGAACACTGCAGGCAAGGGGGCAGCGGGGGGGGCGCTGGGCCTGGGGAGAGGTGGCCCTGCTGCTGCTGGCCGCAGGGCAGGGCGCCACAGCCGGCGCGCGGCACGGCGCTTCGTCCACAGCGTGCACCACACGCCCAGCGCCGCGTGGCGGCCATCGTGGCCCCAGCCCAGACCAGCCCTCACCCGAGCTGCCCAGGAACATGCTGGCCAGGTCATTGTACTGCCCATCTGGGCACAGGTGCTGCACCACATCGCCCGCCTCCCAGTGCTCCGGCAGCGGCCGGCAGCTGCCCACGGCCGCTGACAGCGCCGCAATCACGGCCACCGTCAGCGCTGCCACCGCCATGGCCTCCCCCAGGCTGCGCGCCGCGGTGCGGGAGGGAGGGCTGAGCCTGCGCAGCCGGCGGCGCATGAGGTTGAAGGAGGCGCCCAGCAGGCCCGCGCCGGCGGAGACGGCAGCCATCAGCGGCAGCTGCACCAGCCACTGGCGCGGGGTCAGGCTGGGGGCGCCGCTGATGGCGAGAATGCCCAGCTCGCTCCTGCGGTGCCCGCACAGCATGCAGGGATGCAAGCTGTCGATGGGGCAGGTGGGCAGGCGGCAAGCACATGGCAAGTGCAGGGCAAAGCGGGGCAAGGCAGGTCGGGGCTGAGGTGGCGCGCCACGTCAGACTCACGTGGCGCTGAGCTGGGAGTGCACGAATGTGGCCATGGCGGCGCACAGCAGGCAGCGCCAGGCCACCTTGCGGTCCCAGTAGCTGCAGGCTTCTTCGCAGCTGAACAGGATGCCCCCGAGGGGAGCCCCAAAGGCCCCCGCAATGCCCGCCGCCACGCCCGCGCTGACCAGCTCACGGTGCCACAGGCTGTGGTCCACATGCGCCACCACGCTGCCTGCCTCCCTGTCCTCCTCGTCCTCCTCCCCTCCTTCCTCGCCCGCCTTGATGTGCCCACACTCCAGCTCCAGCTTCACATCCTCTGCCGACCAGCTGGCCCCGCCTGCCGAGCGCTGGCGCTCCGCTGGCTCCCCCTCGTCGCTGGCCGGCAGCGCCTCGTAGCCGGCCAGGCACGCCGTGCTGCCGCGGCTGCCAGTCGGCCGCCTGCGCTCCTGCGTCCAATCCCAGAACGCTGCACACAGGCAGGGGTGCGGGCGGCGCTCTCCGGGAAGCTCCCGAGGGAAGCAGGGACCGGTGCTACCCCACCACGGCTCCACCGCTACCACAGCACAGCTCAAGCGGATGCTCCTACCGGCATCCATTGATGCGCCGCCTGGGCCAAAGCACCACCCGCCTGGGGCCTCACCCTGCTCTGCGCGGCACAGCGCACTGGCCAGGCAGGCGCCCAGGTGCGCCATGGGCCCCTCCACGCCGACGGCCAGCGTGGCCACCCGGCTCAGCACGCATCCCACCAGCTTGACCACAAACACATCCAGGCCCAGCAGGCCGGGGATGTCGTTGCCGTTGAGGGCGGCCATGACAGCCTGCGGGAGGGGGTAGGCAGGGAGGAAAGGAGGGCAGGCAGGGCTGGGGATCGCAAGCTGGGAGGCGGGCTGAGGCTGCCAGGCAGGCAGGTGGGGAACCAGATTGGCTGAATCATCATCGGAGGGGCAAGCAGCGGGGCAATCAGCGGCCACAGAGGCACGCAGGAGCGGCGAGCGCACCGCCACGCCGCCTCCCGCCGCCATCGGCGCAAACAGCAGCACCATGGACCCGGCCGCCAGCACCAGGCTGACGCTGACGACGACCTCCACAGCGAAGGCTTGGCCCAGGCCGGTGGCGAAGACTGTCTGCAAAAGCTGGTTGTGCACCGCCACGCCCGCCTCGATGGCGCTCTGCAGCGCCTGCCCCGCCACACCGATGGCCGCGCCCGCCAGCAGCGTGGCCACCAGCTTGCTGACCGCGCGGCCGCTGCACCTGCAGGCAGGCAGCACGGCGCACAGCAGGCCTTCTGATTTGGACGACCTGACGTATCGCTCGTGCCCGCCTGGCGCCGCTCAGCTGCGCTGCAGGGTTGCAATGCCGCCAGCTCCGCCACTCACACGCGGAACCGAGGCTGCGAATGTCGCCTTCGCCAATCAGCATCAGCATGGCCTGGGTCTGTATCGACGAGAGCTGCGGGCTCCGCCCCCACAAAGTCGATGGTCGACCAGGTCATCCCCCTAAACCCGAGCTTTAGGCCCGCGCCGCTCTCCCATGCATTCGTAAGCTTGCAAGGGCTCCAGTGGGCCGAGGAGATATGCTGGACTAGGCAGAATTGCTGGTACTCAGTGGCGCAGCTGCCCTGGAGCTGGCTGGCGCTAGCACAAGGTTCCCGCCTGGCGAGCAGCTGCAGGCTGCCACACTGCATTTCCCACCCCTGCAATAGGATGAGGGGGCATTACAGCAGGAAGCGCTAAACTGCAATATTGGGCACAGGGTCTGCATGGCCGGAAAATGAGGTGAAGAGCGGGGCGGGGCATGATACACGGAGCGGCAGACAAGAAGCAAAATGTACAGCAGGTCTGATGATACAAAAGCTGGCGCCAGGCTCCAGCCCTACAGCACCAGCCGGCCCATGAGCCGCAGGCAGCTCCACAGCGCTGCCAGCACCGCCTTGGCCACCCACGGGTTGCTGAAGCAGCTGAACGCGCCGTAGCCCAGCGCCCCCAGGCGGTAGAGCGACTTGGCCCAGTCCACCAGCCGCCGCACCCGCCCCTTGCGCAGCTCAGCCATGGTCAGTCCCACGGCGCGCTGCAGCTGCCACGGCTCCATGTTCTTGGCATCGGGCAGGCTCACTGCGATCGCACGGCCGCGGGGGGGGGCGGTGAGTGGTGGGCCGACACGCGGCCAGGCAAGGAGCAAGCGGCACGTAGCTAGGGGCGCCACCCAGCCGCGCTACGCGCCAGGAGTAGGAGAGCCACCCACCCAGCTCAAGCTCTGCGCACCTATGTACTCGGCAATGAAGGCGCTGAGCGCACGCACCACATCGTCCCGCTCCACCAACACGTAGTCGCCCGTCTGCTCGCTCACTGCAGGTGGATGGGCAGGTGGCAGGGGCAGCCGAGCTAGGATTCAACAAGCCGGCGGTCACACACTGGGCTGCTCCGGTGCTGCACCAGCACGGCCCACAGCCCAGCGTCTGCCTCACCCCGCAGCTCGCCATCCTCTTTGAGCTCCCACCAGTCCTGAGCCAGCACCTCGCAGCCGCCCTGCGCCGCGTCTGCCGTGGGCACCGGCGGGTGCTGCTGCAGCTCGTGCTGCGACCGCGCCAGGGCTTCTGTGAACGCATCCGACTGCACCTCCCGTTCTAACGCAGAGTAGAGCTGCAAAGGGGAGGATCGCGTGTATAAGAAGCGTGCGCTGCGCGGCGACGTGGTTCCACTCTGCGAGGTTCTGAACGACGCAATTGGCGTCCGCAGTTCCCACCGGCTTCTCCGGTGCAATCTAAGGTGCAAGCCCAAAATGCAAGTCTCATGGCAGAGCCATACAAGTCTGCAAACCACGAGCGCTGGCGCCGCCGCCCACCTGCTCGGTGCCCTGCTCCGTCGTTGCTGTGGGAGCCAGCCAGCCGCGCCCAGCCTTGGCGGCCACCTGCTTGAGCTCGTTTCTGCAGGCAGAGCGCAGGCGGAAGGAACCGCTCAGAAAAAGTGTTGTGGCCCGCCAGGGGCAGGCGAGTGAGCGCCTCTCTCGTGACCCACACCTGTTGCGGTCCAGCACGTGCTGCAGCTCCAGCTCCTCCAAAGACGGCTCCATGGCTGCCAAAGCAGGGAGAGCCCCGCCCTCTGGCGCCTTGTGGGCTTGCTGCGCGGTGGTGAGGTCGTCCTTTGGTTGCCAGCCCGCTCACTATGAGCACCTCGCTTCGACAGGTACTGCACATGTACTTGCACTCTCGGGCCGGGGGAGAAGGGGCGGCGGCGGGCCCCGTGCCTTTATTCTTGCAACCGAGTGGCCCAGGATGACCTCTCTAGCGCGCTTGTGACCTGCCATTGGCACCGGGGCATGCCTGGTTTGCAAGGCCCCATGCAGCCCCCCACAAGGACTCTGGACGTGCTGTCCGGCACCAAGAGCTTCGAGGGGCTGCTGCTGCCGCCCCACATCCTGCAGGCCCTGCACGAGGCAGGCTTCCGCCGGCCGTCGCCGGTGCAGGAGGCGGCGCTGCCGCTGGCCCGCATGGGCACAGACCTGATCGTGCAAGCCAAGGCAGGCACCGGCAAGACGCTGGTGTTTGCGGTGGCGGCGGTGGAGCGAGTGGACCTCGCCAACAGCTCCCCGCAGGTGGGACGTGCCGGCCGCGCCGCATGCATGCGGTGATGGCCGCCACGCCATGGCCGCCGTCCAAGCGCAGCCGTGCAGCCTGCCGCTCTGCTGCCTGGTCTGAGCAGACTGCACATGGCCCTTGCAGGTGCTGGTGCTGGCGCCGACGCGCGAGATTGCGCTGCAGGCGAGCGAGACGGTGGCGTTGGCGGCGGCGGCGCTGCCGCTGCCAGGCCTGGCCTGTGCCTCCTTCATTGGCGGCCTCCCCGTGGATGAGGACGAGAAGCAGCTGCGCAGGCAAGCAGGCAGCTGGCCGGGCCGGGTGGGGGACGGCGATGCGTGCGGCGGGAGGAAGCTCTGATTTGTAGGGTGGCCTCCTCAGGTGGCCCCTCTCCTGCCGGCACTGGCGATTGAGCCCGGCGAGGGCGCCGAGCAGCGCCGCCAAGCCGCACAGCTGCCGCCGCTGCTCCCCGCTGGTGTACCACCACCTTCCTCGCGGCCGTCGCTTTGCGGGCGCAGTGTTGCTGCCCGACGCTGGCCGACTTGCGAAGCCTTTGCCTGCTGTGCCCGCTGTGTGCAGGGCGTGCCATGTTGCGGTGGGCACCACCGGGCGCATGCTGTCGCTCATCCAGCGCGGCACGCTGCGCACCGACAGCGTGCACCTGCTGGTACTGGATGAAGCTGACAAGCTGCTGGCAGGTGCGCCGCAGCTGCTGCCTCTGCTGCCTCTGCCGGCGCACCTGGTCCACTGCCGGCGCGCCTAGTGCGTGCGTGCCTGCTTGCTATAGACGCCTCAATCCAGCGCTGCCAGCACCCAACACACCCACCACCCCACTTCCTGCACTGCCTGTACTGCCTGGTGCAGACTCCTTCCGCAAAGACACGCTGGCCATCGCTTCGGCGCTGCCGCAGCGGCGCCAGCTGCTGGCCCTGTCTGCCACCTATGCGCCGTCGGCGCTGGAGCAGCTGCGCCGCCTGATGGGCGGGCGACAGCAGGAGGTGCTTCTGTCTTCTGAAGACACGTCACTGCTGGGGGTGCACCAGTGCTACAGGATGCTGCCCGGGAGCGGCGGTGGCGGCGGGGGGGGCCACACGGCCAGCCGCACGCCCGCGCCGCAGCGGCGGCGGCAGCAGCAGCAGCAGCAGCAGCAGGAGCAGCAGGAGCAGGAGCAGCAGCCCCACAGCAGCGCCGAGTGGCTGGAGGCGCGGCTGGCGGCGCTGCTGCAGCTGCTGTCTGCCGTCAGCTACCAGCAGGCGGTGGTGTTCTGCAAGTACCGAGCAGGCAAGTGCCCAAGGGGGGGAAGAGGGTCACGGGTTGCACCAGCCCGCCTGGCTTTCGCATCTGCTGCTTGTTACCAGAGCCGCCGCCGTGCTGCATTTACGGGCACCCGCCGCCCGTCTTCGTGCTGAGCTGTTTGCCTGTTTGCACCGCCCCCCCGCCCCGCTCCTGCAGATGCCGAGGTGGTGGCGGAGCGGCTGCTGGCGGGCGGCTTCCCGGCTGCCTACCTGTCGGCCCAGCGCACGCAGCTTCAGCGCATCGAGGCGCTGAACGCCTTGCGGGACTTCAGGTGCGTGTGTGTGGGCTCTCTGTCGCTGTGGACGTGTAGTGCATGTGTGATGATGGCTGCAAAGGGGTCGAAGGGGTGGGCTTGGGGCTCGGCGTTGAGGCCCAGTCCGCCCCGATGCGCCGCTGGCCCCGCCGCTCCCTGCCAGCCGCAGGGCGCGCCTGTCCTGCTCCCCTCCCATCCTCATGTCCCCTTGGCGCATGCCTCGACCCCGCCTCCCCGCCCATGCTCCTCCGCAGGCTGCGCGTGGCCGTGACAACCGATCTCGCTGCTCGGGGCGTGGACCTGGATCGGGTGAACCTGGTGGTGAACCTGGCGCTGCCGCCTGACGCCGAAACGTACATGCACCGGTGAGGGCGGGGACCGGCGGCGCTCAGCTGGCTGGCGCTGCGTGCCGCGCTTGGTGCGAGGCGTGCATGTGTGTGGGGGGGGACAGCACGCTGCCTCTGCACCGCAGCCTTCTGTGCCCCCCAGCCTGCTCTAGCGTGGCGTGCTGGCCGGCCGGCCCGCCTGACCGCACCCGGCCCGCCTGCGGCCGTGCTTGCAGGGTGGGGCGCGCCGGGCGCTTCGGCACGCGGGGCGTGGCGGTGACGCTGCTGGATGGGCCAGAGGAGCTGCGGCGCCTGGAGGGGTACCTTGCTGAGGTGGCGGGAGGGCAGGTGCGTGGCAGCTGCATCTACCTGTGGTGTATCAGCACCAGCACGCGGCAGAGGGGTTCCACCCCCACGTCTCTCCACGCCCTGTGCCTGTATCCACCTGTGTTGCCTGGTCACCTCCCTCCCCTTGCCTCCCGCTCGGTTGGTGCAGGTCACCGAGCTGCCCGAGTTTGTGCCTGAGGAATGGTACCGTCAGGCGCAGCAGCCGGCCAGCGGTACCAGCTCCCTCGGCGGCGGCAGCGACGGCGGCAGCCTGGGTGCCATGGGCCCCAGAACGCCAGCCTCCTCCTCCCTGCTCGCCTCTGCCGGCGCGGAGAGCTGGGGCAGCGGTGGCGACGGGGCGTTGGCAGACATTGCCACCGCCTCGCTGTGGGGTGACGATGGGGCGGAAGCGGGACCGCTGGACTTAGAGCAGCAGCAGGGGCAGCAGCAGCAGCAGGAATCGGTGGCGCAGCAGCATGACAAGCAGTGGCAGCAGCAGGAGGAGGAGGAGGAGGCAGGGCAGCAGGAGGAGCAGTGGGGATTTGAGGGGCTGGATCTCAGCTACACTGTTGTGCCCAAGGCAGCGGCAGGGCGCGCCCCTGCCGCCGCTGGCCCCGCCGCCTCCCCCACGCCATCCAAGCCCGCGGTCTCCTCGCTCACTGCGGCGGTGGCGGCGGCCGCGGCCAGCAGCCGGCGCCGCGCCGCGGCGGCCGCCGCGGCCGCCAACGGCAGCGGCACCGGCTCCCCCGCCGATTCCTGCAGCAGTGCAGACTCAGTTGACAGCTGGGGATCCACCTCTGATGATGACTACAGCGGCAGCGACGGGGAAGAAAGCGCGGCGGCGGCGGCCGCCGCAGCGGCCGCCTGCAGCGGCGGCGGCAGCGGCGGCAGCGGCAGCGGCGGCGCCACGCCTCCCCCCGTCAGCTTCAAGCCGCTGCGCCGCGTCGGCTCCGCAGGCAGCACCGCCAGCAGCGGCAGCAGCGGCAGCAGCGGCGGCCGGCTGAGCAGCCCGCCCGCCCCCATCCCGGGCCGCCACCACCATTCTACGCTGCAGCAGGAGGTGCAGCGCCCTCTCTGGGCCAACAGCTACGAAGATGCCAGCCCCGGGCTGGCGGCGGTGGTGGAGGAGGCTCCCCCTGCGCTGCTGGCCGGCGATGCCACCGACGCGGGCGCCGACGCGGCGTGTGTGGCGGGGCCGGGCGGCGCCTTCCCGGGCACAGGGATGACTAGCAGCGATGAGGAGCCCAGCTTTAAGGACTCTTGGCTGAATGAGGAGCAGAAGGAGTCGGCGGCGGCGGAGAAGGCAGCGCGGCGGCAGCACCGGCGCGCGGCGGCCGCCGCCGAGGCCGCCCCCCCGGGCTTCGAGCTGCGGCCCCACGGCCGCGGCCCTCGGTCGGGCACGGCCGCGGCTGGCAGCCGGCGTGCGCAGCAGGCGCAGCAGGCGCAGCAGGGGCACTACTGGGCCATCGTTCGCAGCGTGCAGCAGGATGTGCAGAGCCGCCAGGGCGGCGGCGGCGGCGGCGGCGTGGCCCCTGCTGCTGCTGCTGGTGCAGCTGGCGAGGAGGAGGGCGGGGGCGAAGTGTTTGAGACGGTGGTGCCTCGGCGGCGCCGCCCGCTGGGCTCAGCCCAGGCCTCCGCCACGCGGCGGCGGGAGGAGGCGGCGGCCGCGGCGGCGGCGGCAGAGGAGGCGCAGGCAGCGGCCCTCGAGCGCGTGGCGGAGCGGCAGGAGGAGGAGGCCGCTTGCGGTGCGGCCGCGGCGGTCGTCGCAGCCGACGCCGCGGCGGAAGCTGAGGAGCAGCAGCGCCAGTGGACTGCCTTCTGGCATCAGCACTATGCATACTACGGCTGCTATCCCTCGGAGGGCCTGTTCTCTGCCGGCGGCGATAGCACCGAGTCTACTGCTGCCGCCCCGGCAGCCGGCGGCAGCCCGCTGCCTGCGGGCGCTTCCGCAGAGCTGCTGCCGCCGCCGCCCCCGCCGCCGGCCCCGCCGCCGCAGCTGTCAGCGGCCGTCTGGGCCAGCGAGCCGCCGCCGCATGACCAGCGCAGCGGCGACAGCGCCGCTCCTGCCGCAGCCGCTGGCGGTGCAGCAGGTGGTGATGCCGCCGGCGGCGGCGAGGGTGGCTGGGTGACGGTGCCTGCCACGCTGTTGGCTCGCTACCAGCAGCTGGAGTGGGAGCAGTGGCACCGGCAGTACGGCGAGTGGCAGACGCTTTGGGAGCAGTACAAATCGTACTGGGCAGGACTCTACTTGCAGCAGCAGGAGCACCAGCAGCAGCAGGAGAGCCAGCAACAATCTGAGCACCAGCAACACTGAGTAGCAGCAGGAAGCATCATCAGTGAGCGGCAGTTTTGCAGCCATCCCCAGACCAGAGCAGAGCAGCAAAGCTGCCGACATAGGAAACCATAGCGGCAACCCACCGTGGGGCGCCCCATCCCCAAAGTATGTGTATTGAATGCCATGCCGCACTTTCAGCAGGCCCATTGCGAATGATGGGTCACATTTCAAATGAGCACTGGGCAACCCTGCATTGCTCCAACCTCTCCCTGAGTTTCTTTTCATTTCAGCCCTTTTGTTTCTTGGTTTCCAACACGTTGTCTTCTCCTCCTTCCCACCAATATCACAACGTGGCGTCTCTTTCATGCCCCGCTTCTAGCCGTATGAAAGTCGCAGCCAGCTCCCAAGCAGCGCATCACGATCAAGCGGATGGGCACAGGGGCTGGCAAGCACCAATCAGGAGGGTGTACCCAGAACAGTGTGGGTGGTCACTGGCTTATCCCGGCCAGCGGACGTCAACGCTTTGGCGGCCAGCCGCGCCCATCATGCCGCCTCGACCGTTGCGGGCATGCGGTAACAAGCAGGACGCTGAGGGACAACCGAAGCAGTCAACTCGCGTATGCGAAGCACTTACTCTCTGTTTCAAGAGTGGGGTATCAAGAAACAGCCCACGCAAGTGTATTCACATAGCATTCCGATTAGCTTCATGCCAGAGGAGGATGGCGTGCTGCGGGCGCTGGGCGGCGGGCGGGCTGCTGGGCGGGTTGCTTGCTGTAGCTTGTGCCGCCTGATTCGTCTCCCAGTGCAGGGTGATGTTTCTGCGCGCGCTCTGGCGGCTGCCGCTGCTTGCAGGCCCCCCAGCCAGGGCTTTTTCACGAGGGCGCTGTGCTGCGGCGCACCATTCGCCCGTGGCGAGCAGCATGGAACCGATCAGCTCGTCAGCAGCCTATAGCCTGGCGCGGACAGCTGAGGGTGGCGATGCCGCCACCGCCGCCGCCGCTGCTCCTGCCTCGACGCGAGTTGCTGTGGCCCAGATGACTAGCGTGGGAAGTGTGGACAAGAACTTTGAAACTGTGTCTAGTCTGGCAAAGGCAAGAATGCATCCCTGATGAGCCGCTGGCCGGCAAAATGGCAGTATCAATTGCCCAAACCACCTCATCAAGGCGCCCCCCCTCCCCTCCCGTCTGAACAGGCCGCCGTGGAGCAGGGCTGCAGGATGCTGTTCCTCCCAGAGAATTGCAGCTTCCTGGGGCTGGCGTTTTCAGAGTCGTTGGCCGTTGCGGAGCCGCTGGAGGGCCCCACCATGCAGCGGTATCGACAGCTGGCGGCGGACAGCGGCCTGTGGCTGTCGGTGGGCGGCTTCCAGGAGCGTGGGCCCGACCCGGAGCACCTGTACAACTGCCATGTGGTCATCAACGCCAGCGGGCGCATCCAGGCCTCCTACCGCAAAATCCACCTGTTTGACAACAGCGTGCCCAACGGTCCCGTGCTGATGGAGAGCAGGTGGGCAGAGGCTGGGGCTGCTGGGTTGGCTGGCTCGCTGGCTGTCCGCCTGAGCAGATCGGTGTGGGAACAGCACCAGCTGAGGTGGTGCCTACTGAACAGAGCATCCCGATATGCAGCCAAATTCTCCCTCTCTGGGCCCCTCTCCCGCCTGCAGGTTTACGGCGGCGGGCGAGCGGCTGGTGGCGTGCGACAGCCCTGCGGGGCGCCTGGGCCTGTCTGTGTGCTACGACCTGCGCTTCCCGGAGCTGTACCAGCGGCTGACGTATGAGCTGGGGGCGCAGGTCCTGCTGGTCCCCTCGGCCTTCACCGTGGCGACAGGTGGGAGGTGGCGCTGTGCCTGCTCGTGTGCAACTGCGAATCGACAGCTCTGCTTCCGTTTCAGTTCTGTTTTTAAGCTGTGTGACGCCGCCTTGGCGGTGCAGGGCGGGCGCACTGGGAAGTTTTGCTGCGGGCGCGGGCGATAGAGACCCAGACCTACGTGATCGCCGCGGCGCAGGCTGGCCAGCACAATGCCAAGCGGGAGAGCTACGGGCACAGCTTGATCATCGACCCCTGGGGCGAGGTGGTGGGGCGGCTGCAAGACCCGCTTGCAACCGGCATCGCCGTCGCGGATGTCGACCTGGGCCTGCTGCAGCAGATCCGCTGCCGCATGCCGGTGGCGGAGCACCGGCGGCTCGGGCGGCTGGCGGTGCACCGCGACTTTGAGATCCTGTAAAGCTTGTATGTTGCTGCTCGCAGTAATGGCTGGGGGGTCTGCAGCTGTGTGGGGCGGCAATCCACGACGGTTGGCAGCTGCAAGCAGCCAGCGCATGCGCTTTCTTGCACGCGGCGCTTTCTTCTTTGGCAGCTCCAAGGCCTGCATCAGCCTCCCGTTAAATTTCAAGCCCTTCCCTTTGTCTGCTCTCAACTTGGCCTCTGCTGGCGAGGAGAGCCTGCTGCACCTTCGCTCGAGGGAACCTCCAGCGTGTTGTGTTGGTGCAGCGTCCGGCCTTGCCCCACCAACTGCCTCTGCCCTGCACACGACCACAAACTGGCAGCCACCATGCGTGCAGCAGCCCTGGCGGCTGTCTGCCTGGCCTGCTGCCTGGCTACCGCCTCTGGCGCTCGGCAGGTGAGGAGGGGCCGCTCAGAGGGCGAGCAGCAGGCTGTGCGTGGCTGGGCAGGGCTGGGCTGCAGCAGGAGCAGGGCCCCAGGCAGTGCGTTCGTGTGGAGGCCCCTGAGCCGGCCGGCCACGAACGATCGCCCTGAGCAGCCTGTGGAGCCGCAGATTCAAATCACGAGGCAACAGGACGCTGCTTGCAAAACCTTGACCACTGCGCCAGACTGAACCCACTTGCGCGCCGCCTGCCGCCGCCGCCGCCGCCGCGTGCAGCTCCAGGCCATGCCTGTGCCCACCACACCCGCCCCCGTCGGCCCAGCCGAATACTTTGTGCGGGTGGAGAATGGCGAGTTTGTGGCCGGGTGCCAGAGGATGCTGCTGACGGGCTGGAACTCGTGAGTAGGGCTGTACTGGCACCATTCGGTTGCGTCCCCCTGCTCCCGCTGCATGCCGCAGCCCGCCTCACAGCGACATTTGCTGAGAGCCCCTCGCAACCTTCACCCTCCCCTGCCCTGGCCTGCAGGTGGGAGATGGTGGAGGCGGCGGCAGGGGCCCCTTCCCTCAGCGGCGCCTCCCTGCCCGTCAACATGACTGGCCCGCAGGCGAGCTGGGGCGTGCAGCCTGTCGGGTGCCTCCTCGTCTCCTCTGCTGGTCGCCTCGCACTGCTTCCCCTGCCGCCCCAACCACACCTGCCGCCTCCCTCCTACCCCTCCTGCCCGCAGTTGGTGCGGTCCCTGCTGGCCAAGGGCAAGGAGGCGGGGTTCAATGTGATGCGCACCTGGGCGCATTCTGTCAACCCGCAGTATGCGGTGCAGGCGAGTGGCTGCCTGGCTGGGCGCAGGCTGGCTGGCAGAGGCATGGTGGGCGCCCCGCGGGCTGTGGGCTGGCGGGCTGCCCGGGCCCGCTCCTCGCGTTGCTGCTCCGCCACTGCTGACCGTACTGCCTGTTTGTGTCGCCCGTCGTCTGTACTGCAGACCGCTCCCGGGCGGTACAACGAGGCCGCCCTGCGCGGGCTGGACTACTTGCTGGATGAGGCGCGCAAGGCGGGCATCAGGGTGCGCGCCTGCGTGCCTGCGCATGCGCAGAGCTCCCTGGGAGGGCTCGGAGTGGCTGCTCACCCCTCAATAGACCGCCAGCCAACCACAAACCTTCTCTCACTGCCAGCCTTCTGCCCATTCCCGCCTGGCACCCGTCCCCACTTTCGTCGCACACCGCTCTGCCCCGTCTCCTCACCCCTCCCACCCTCTTCCCACCGCCCCTGCAGCTCATCCTTGCCTTCACCTCCAACTGGACGCCCACCGGCGGCGTGCCCGAGTACCTCAAGTGGGCCGGCAGCGACAAGCAGGTGGGGCTGGCCCCGCCGCGTCCGCAGCTCTCCTGCCCCGTCACAGCACCCTTTGCAGCGTGTGAGACGAGCACCTCCCGGGCCGGCACGGCAGGGTTGAAACCCAAGCCTCCTCCCTCCCTTTTCCTTCTCTTCTCCTCCACCCATGCGCTTCACCCCTCCTCTTGTCCCCTCCTCCCTCCTCTGCGTCCCCTCCGCCCCTCCCCAGGTCGACTTCTTCACCAGCCCCGCCATCAAGGCCATGTTCCAGGGCTGGGTGCAGACGCTGGCCACCCGCGTCAACACCATCAACGGCCGCGCATACAGGGACGACCCAACCATCATGGCCTGGGTGAGAGAGGAGGGAGGGAGGGAGGGAGGGGGCTTGGGTGGGCATGGGCTGGACGCCTCGGGCCCGTCCTTGCCCCGCTCCGCTATGACTCCCCACCCGCTCCCCCACCAGCGCCAGCCTCTTGACCTGCCCTGCCCTCCCCTCTCATCCTGGCCCCTGGTGCGGCCCGCAGAACCTGCTGAATGAGCCGCGCTGCAACGGCTGCCCCGCGGGCACCGTGGCGGCATGGTACGACGAGATGGCTCGCTTCACCAAGACTGTCGACCCTAACCATCTGGTCTCAACCGGCGAGGAGGGCTTCTACGCCTGCTGCGGCAACCCCGCCAACCCCGGCCAGCCCTGGTGCGGCGTGCCGGGCGGCCGTGCGGGCCCCGCCCCTCGCGCAGCGGCGCCGGTCTGCGCAGCCGTGTTCGAGCGTGGCCACACAGGCGGGCCCGCCTGGACGCCGTTCCCCTGGCTGTGAAAGCAGCGCCCTCTTACCCTCTTTCCCTGTCCCTGTCCTCGAATTGCAGGACCGAGTGGGCTGCGGAGGAGGGCCAGGACTTCATCGCCGACCACTCCTCTCCCGCCATTGACTTTGCCACCATTCACGCTTGGGTGAGGCGGGGCGCAGGCAGCAAGCGCTGCTAATGCTGCCGGCACATGCGTAGCCCTGCCACGCGTCGTGCTTTGGTAGTCCTCCCTACTTGGCCAGCCGAACACAGCACCTCTGCCAGGCACAGGCCGGTCACCGCTGCCCCCCCTTCCTCTCCACCCCCCGTGGAGCAGGTGGACAACTGGCAGCAGGTGGATCCCACCTGGCTGGTGCGCTGGATCGCCAACCACGCCCGCGACTCCGCCGCCGTCCTGAAGAAGCCGCTTGTGCTGGAGGAGGTGAGGAGGCACCCCTGGCTGGCAGGCTGGGTGCCGAGGCGTGTGCCCCGTGCTGGTTCCCACACCTTGCCCTCACCGCCTCGCGCTTGCACAGCTGCCAGGCGCCTTTGACACTGCCCTGACCCTGACCCTGCATGCCCGCCTCGCTGCCTGCCTCCCTGCCTGGCGCAGCACGGCAAGTGGGTCACCGACAACGCCACCATCGGCGGCAAGTTTGTGTCGGCCAGCCTGGAGGAGCGCAACCAGTTCATGGATGTGAGCAGGAGGGGGTGGGGGTGGGGCGGCGGCAGTGAAAGGGATGCCGCTGTTGCTGCCCCAGTCTCTCGAGGAACGCTTTGCTTTGATCTCCAGTCACACCTGCTTTTCACCCCTCCTCCCCC